GCGCCTGGGGGACGGGGGAGCCGGGAGGGCGGGCGGGAGCCACACGGGAGCAGGAGCTCGCAGCCAGCACCAGACTGGACTCCACTGGGGTTGCACAGTGAGCAAAGCCTGCCGCGGGTGTTGGCACCACCCGGCTGGACAGCGCTGCAGGGCTCTGACTCGGGGCTGCCCGGGCTGTCATTAACCTGTATTAGCAGGGAGAAAACGAGCTCATTAAATCAGGGGCAAGGCTGGGCATGGGGTGTTCACCTGCTGAGAGAGCGTGACATTCCTGGCCCTCACCCTGCGGTTGTTGGTGGCACACGGAGCTCCTCATCACCCCTGCATTCTGAGCTTTAGCCCCCGGGAGCCTGGGGAGGCCTCTGGCTGCAGAGGGGAGAGTGCAGAGTCCAGAGCAGTGGTGGTTGGGACAGCCATGGCAGCACCCTGCCCCCTGTGTCCCTCAAGGACTGCTCAGGGCATGAACAGGGAGATGCAGCCACAGGGACCTGGAGCATGGGAGGCAGCTCAGGCTGGTCCCCCAGCCTTGTCACAACCCTGGGGAAGGACCCGGTCTGGAGGTGTCGCTCCGCGCTGTCCACGCGGGGCTGGTGAGGAGCTGGGCTGTGCACAGGGGGAAAGCAAGAAGCAGACAGCAGGGATGATCCTATGCTCACCTCTCTCGTGTCCTTGACCCACGTGTGGGGAAGGAGCCTGGGGTGAGAGCTCCATGGTAACACTGCTTCCATCCCACTGTGGGGTCAGGATCCCCTGGCACTGCCTCCTACCCTGTAGGGAGGGAGGGAGACTTGTCTGAGGGGCTTCTTGGCCAGCTTGGGGTGGGTGTCCTGCTGGAAGCACCAGAGCTCTGAAATACTCCTGGAAAGTGAGAGGGGTTGGGTTCCAGGCTCATCCATCACCGTGGCCTGGTGCTCAGGTAGGAGGAGCTGCAGCTCCTTCAAGGAGTCAGGGTGGTTGAGCCTCCCTCAGCTGCATCCCCCGATTGTGGGTTGGGCTTTTAACCTCCAGCTTGTGCTGGACAGGCAGAGCTGAAAGCAAATTGTGGAGTGGGATTCCACCTTCTTCCACTGCTGCTGACTTTGACAGCCACCTCCTCACCTGCTGCACCACCAGGGGCCCAAAGCAATGTTTTTTTCTCTGAGCACCAGCACTGTTTTGCCTTGAACCAGTCAATTCTGTCTGAAAACCCCACATGAGGTCTCTGCTCTTTCTCCTGTGCTGGCTAAGAGAGCTCGGAGACCCTTCAGGCTCAGCCAGTATTGGATAAACCATCCTCCAGCTTCTCCTGGGTTCAGCTTATCCAGTTGGCACTTGGGAGGTTGGGTCTGAGCTTCGGGCTTGCAAATGGTCCCACAGTAAGTAGTAGGATGTGGGGTGAGGGGAGGCACCCTCAGACCCGCTGCCCCAGCCAGGAGTTGGAGCTCATTGCTAATCCCTGGACCAACCAACCTTTTTTTTCAGTGGTAGGGGGATGTCAGTGAGTTACCAGCAGCCTCCAGAAACTCAGGGTATCTCCCAAGGTGCCCAAATGAGTTTTGAAACAGTTAGTGGCTGGTTTTGTTGGGTGAGTGAAGCAACTGGGTGTAGGGAGAGGCCAGCATGAGGTGTCTAGTGAGGGAGGGGCAGGAGTAAGTGTCCCAACCCTGTGATGCTTCTCCCCTTTCTTGCCCTCTCAGGGGAGAGGCTGAGGCAGCCTGCTGACACACTGGGTTGCTCTGTATCTTCTAGGCATTCAAAGTCTTTGAGCGGATGGCCCGGCAGGACGATGAGAAGAGGAGCCGAGAGCTGGAGGTGAAGCTGAGGAAGAAGGAGGAGGAGGAAGCCACATCTGCTGAGAGGGTGAAACTGCCCCCGGCAGCTCAGGAGGTCGAGGTAGAGACAACAGTAGAGCCCATCCCAGCAATGGATGCTGGGGGAGCTGCAGGGATCCCGGAGTCAGCCCAGGACACACCCCCTGGCCCCGTGTCGGCTGAGCCCCCAGGGGCTGCTGGCCCAGCAGCTTTGCCAACGTAAGGGTCTTGACTTCCTTTGTGCTCCTGGTGGGGTGGGGACACACACGACACAAAAACACCAAGGGAGTGTTTGCTTTCTTGCCATGTGGCCCTTTATTTTTTTTCGGGTGGGAGCCCTCTTCCCTGGCCCTTTGGGGGCTGTGTGGGTTTTTGTGGTGTAACTGCCCCCGGAGAGAGAGGAGCAGGGGTCTGTCCTGCGAGTGTTCTGGTGGCTCCTGCTCTGCGCAGTGACAAGTCCCCATAGGCAGGGCTGGGCTGGTCTGTGTGCCACAGGGCTGACTCTCCACTCAACTGCCTCAGCTCGGGGAAACCCTGCCAGCACATGGGCACCCTTTTCTCCCAGGAGTTGGGTGTGGGATCCCTGACAGGGCTGTGAGACATCCCAGCAGTCAAGCAGGACCTTGCCACAATCCCCACCGTGGGCACGGGCAGGCCTAGCTGCTTGGCAGCCAAGTGCATGTGGCAAAAAATGGGTTTGGAGACCTCGGGGTTCCTCTGGCTCAGCCATGTGCTCCCAGCAGGGCCACCTTTAAAGGTCAGTCAGGTGCTGCAGAGAGTTGTCCCTGGCCAGGCTCCGTCACTTTCTGAGCCCTTTCAGCATTTCTTGTGAATCAGCTCAGTGGTGGAAGGGGAGGTCCAGCCACAGGAGGGTCATGGCCTTTGTAACCTGCTTTTACCTGAGATTGCTCACCCTTTCCTGGGCCTCACCTTGATCCCGAGGCCAGGCACAACCATCACCTTGACCCCAAGCCCAGGCACAGATGTCACTCTCTCCCAGGGCCTCACACCGGGGGGTTTCCAACTCTCTCTACTTCGACCAGCCCCAGGGGGCGGTGCCCCATCAGGTTGCTGCTTCCTCATCCCTTCACAGTGTTTCTTGTGGTCAGAGCCCCTGCCATGGGCCCCTTACTGCTGCTTTCCTGCTGGGTTGTGGGGCTTCAGTCTATCCCTGCTGGTGCTTGGCAAAGAGGACAGCTTGGGACAGCGATCCCTATCCTCTGGGTGAGCGTTGTTCAACCTGGAGAAGAGACGGCTCCAGGAAGACCCTAGGGCACCTTCCAGTGCCTGAAGGGACTCCAGGAAAGCTGGGGAGGGACTTTGGATGAGGACAGGAGTGGTGGGACGAGGCGGAACGGATTAAAACTGGAAGAGGGAGATTGAGGTTGGACATGAGGAGGAAATTTTTGAGTGTGAGGGTGGTGAGACACTGGCACAGGTTGCCCAGAGAAGTTGTGGCTGCCCCATCCCTGGGGGTGTTGAAGGGCAGGTTGGATGGGGCTTGGAGCAACCTGGGCTGGTGGGAGGTGTCCTTGCCGATGCAGGGGTGTTGGAACTGGATGATCTTGAAGGTCTTTTTCACCCCAACCCGTTTCATGATCCAGGACACATCCAGAGAGCAGGCTGCTGGTGGAAAGCAGGATTTGCTGGGAGAGCCTCAAGGCCTGGAAGGAGTGGAGTGGCCAATGTCCCTGAAGGGCAGAGAGGATTTGGAGCCCAGACTGCAGGGGTTGGCAGCCCTTGGTGTTGGGAAGGGGTTAGTCTGAGTACCAAAATTTTGGAGGCAGTGGAAGAACAAGTGGCAGGACTGTGGTGGAGTTGGAGCTGGTGACCTTACCCCAGGCAGCGGAGGAGAGGAGGACTGGAGTGTGCCAGGTGGAAGGGGAGGCCCCAGCAAAGACTCAGTCCAGGAACTTGATCCAGTGGGAAAGAGGAGAAGGACTCAGTACTTAACTTGACTGGTCTGACACACATCCCACAGGATAAAAATAAGCCAGAAGCCAAAAATGAAATCGCCTGAGCAGCCACGTTCTGCTGCCAGTACTGGAGCTGTCCTGAGAAAGAAAGATTGTCTCTGGGGCTGCCATTCTGACACCTCCCAGTGCAGGATGAACCAGCCAAAAAAAAGCCCTGGTAGAACTGGCAGGTCTCTGTGGCCAGGCTGTGTAGCCTCAGTGTGATCCCTGTGTTTCCAGCCTGGAAAAGGAAGGAGGTTGTAGGGCGGTGGGAGTTGGGCTGTTCTCTCAAGTGAATAACGACAGGACAAGAATAAATGGCCTGAAGCTGCAGCAGGGGGGGTTTAGACTGGAGATTAGGAAGAATTTCTTGACCCAAAGAATGGCTGGACAGTGGGAAGGGCTGGCCAGGGTGGTGGTGGAGTCACCATCCCTGGAAGTGTTTAAAAGAATTAGAGATGTGGTGCTGAGGGACATGATTCAAGCACTGAACGGGTAGATTAGGTTGTGATTGGTGGATTTAGGCTATGGTTGGACTTGGTGATCTTCAAGGTCTTTTTCAACCTGGATGATTCTGTGATTCTGTAAAAGGTGGAGTTGAAAGGCAAGGCTGGGAGTGGGCTGGAGCTGAGGCTGGCTGCCCATGTCCCCTGGCAGTCCTCATGTCCTCTCCTGGGGTACATTAGGAGGAGTGTGTCCAGTAGATGGAGGGATGTTCTCCTCACCCTCTACTCAGCGGGTAGTAAGACATCACTTGGAGTATTATATCCCGTTTTGGGCTCCCCAGTTCAGGAGGGACAGGGATTTACTGGAGAGTTGAATGCAGGCTATGAGGATGATGAAGAGACTGACATATATGTCTGATGAGGAGAGGCTGAGAGACCTGGGGCTGTTTAGTCTGGAGAGAAGACAGAGGGGATCTAATTAATGTCTATAAATACATGAGGGCATCAAGAAGGAGGGGACAACCTCTTTTTACTTGTGCCCTGTGATAGGATGAGGGCAATGGATTCAAACTCAAGCACAGGAAGTTCTACCTCACTGTGAGGAAGAACTTCTTGACTGTTAGGATGACAGAGCTCCGGGACAGGCTGCCCAGAGAGGTTGTGGAGTCTCCTTCTCTGGAGACTTTCAAGACCTGTCTGGATGCCTTTCTGAGTGATCTGCTTTAGTTTTGGTCCTGCTTTGGCAGGGGGGTGGATTTGATGATCTTTGGAGGTCCCTTCCAACCCCAACATTCTGTGATGATTTTGCTGTGCAGAATTTCACCAGGGGGTTTGGCTTTGAGGGCAGCAGCTGTTGTGGGTGGTGTTCAGGTGCCTGGACACATATTGAGCCTATGGGGTGGAAACTGGAGAGGTTAGGAAGGAAGTTGAGGGCTGATGCAGAGGCAGGACGTGTCTTATAGGGACATTCTGCTGCCAGTGGGGACAACCCAGCCCCTGCATCCTCCACCCTTTGGGTGTCGCTACTGGCCCCACTGTCATGGTGCCCCTGGCAAACCTCAGACACTCCAGGTACTGTTTGCAGCCTGCAGACACAGTGTGCGGCAGCTCTTCTGCCATGGAAAGAAGATGCCTCCAACTGAATGCAGGTGCCCCTGCAGTTGCTGTCGTGCCCCACCAGACCTTGTCCATTTCCTCCTGCCTGTGTCTTCTCCCACTCCTCAAACACGTGGCTGGGGTGAAACCTACTGGGTTTGTGGGGTGGGGGGGTGACGTCAGCACCGGAGGAGGTGTCCAGCCAGGCTTTGCAGGCTTCTGGCTTCCAGACCAGAAGAGGGTGTGTGCTCTAAGTAGGGACTTGTAGCCATTAGATTTACAGAGATGGTCTAACAGTTAGTGCTCAGCCTGGCTGCATACTTAGTTTTCCTCCAATTCTCTGTCCACAGAGAGATCTCTTGGATAGGGTTTTCAGAAGCACATTGTTGACATAGAAGAACTCTTATTTTCTGACAGATGCATCATTCTAAGTCACAAAACCACAACTGAGAATGCTTTGAGGTTACCTTTTATTTTCTTCATCTGTAAAAGGAAACAAACTTTTGTTAATCTTAGATAGATCTGTAAGGATCTTTTGCGGGCAATTGTGAAGTCTTAACACAGAACTTGGCAAGGCAGCTCCAGCCCTTTCTCCAAGTAAGGAACTGCCAATTGCCTGCAGAACTCAGTGACATTTCTGTTCCACATGAAGGCAGGCTTGGAAAAGACAACAAGGATCTTGCTGAAACCTACTGGGTTTGTGGGGTGGGGGGGTGACGTCAGCACCGGAGGAGGTGTCCAGCCAGGCTTTGCAGGCTTCTGGCTTCCAGACCAGAAGAGGGTGTGTGCTCTAAGTAGGGCAGAGCAGCCATTAGATTTGTCAAAGGGATGTAGTTGGTTCGTGTGCCTGTGGGGGGCACTGGAGCCCCCCCAGAAGGCGGTGGGAACCAGATGTGGGCGTCCTGGACACCCCCTGACAGACTATTAATAATTTAACTGGCTGCTTAATCTGCACAGATCCTTCTGAGCAGAACCCAGAGCCACCAGCCTGGTTACGAGGGGCGCATGAATAATGCGCTGCTTCAGCAGAGAGAATGCAGAGAAGAGCTTAAATGAAAATATTTTCCATCTATCTCCCCCTTCCTCCCCCCTTTTCTTCCACTGGCGAGGAAGAAAACCACTGCCACCGAAATCTATATAAAAACTTGCTCGTTCTGTCAACCTGACTGCTCAAGGAATGTAGGGCAGGTCCCATCCCAGATCTGCCAGCTCCCATCAGGACCTCGCAGCGTGTCGGATGCTCTTCCTGAGAAGCAGGCAACAGTGTTTTGGGGTCGGTGTGGAAGGGGAGGGTGGAATCCAGCCTGTTTTATGGGTGTAGAGGGCTCAGTTCCTCTGCTCAGCTGGGTGTCCCCACATCCCTCCTCTTCCCTGCCAGCACAGAGTGAGTGATCAGGTTCCTCTGGGAATGCTGTGCCACTAAGCACACCCAGGATGAGGTGTTGTGGGGTGAGCAGGGGCTGTGCAAAGCGGGTCAGGGGTCTTCATGCTGTTGAAGGAGTCAGCTCCTCAGCCTGGCTTGCAGCTGCCCTGGGTGCTCCCTCTCCTTCCCTTGCCACTATGACCCATGTCCTTCCACCAGAAGGGCAGAGGGGAGCTTGCATGCCCTTCCCACCTTGTGCCCCACCCTGTGTCCCTGCCATTGGGCTCTCATGCTGACAGTGTTGCTGCTGCACATATCACAGAGACCCCAGCTCCAGCTCTTCCCCTATCTGCTCCCTGAAGCCATCCTTGCCTGAGCTCAGCTCCTAATTTTGACCACCTCCGCCACCCAGCACCCTCCCTCCCCCAGCCTGGATTCCATCCTGCATATATTTGCCACACAGCATTTAAAATAGAGCCTGGCAGCCTACGTGTGGCACAGCCTAGTCCGGGTGCTCAGCTTCTGCTTTTCAACTCCAGGTCCATGCCCTGCTCTGCTCCTCTCTCAGCATGAGCTGAGGGATATGCTCTCCTTCCCCGTCCCATGAACCCATCCTGGGGTTCCTCTGTGTGTGGGCAGGAGGTGGTGGCAGGAAGCCTATGCATGCTGGTGAGTGCCTCGCCTTCAACAAGTTCTCTGGGTGCTCTGGCCAGGTGGGCTCAAGGCTGGGCTGTTTAGAGTCCTCTGTTGGAAACTGTCTTGAATCTTGGGACAAGGGTAGAAAGGTTCTGCAGAGGGACCTGGACAGGCTGGATCCATGGGTTGAGGCTCTGCAGAGACACCTGGACAGGCTGGGTCCATTGACTAAGGCTCTGCAGAGGGACCTGGACAGGGTGGATCCATGGGTCAAAGTCAAATATGTGAGGTGCAGTCAGGCTCAGTGCTGGGTCCTGCATTTTGGGTCACACCAACCCCAGGCACCACTCCAGGCTTGGGGAAGAGCAGCTGGAGAGTTCCCAGGGGAAAAGGACCTGGAGGTGCTGGCCACAGCAGTTGGACATGTGCCCAGGTGGCCAGGAAGGCCACCAGCATTCTGGCTTGCATCAGCAGCAGTGTGGCCAGCAGAACAAGGCCAGGATTGTCCCCCTGTACTGGGCACTGCTGAGGGGGCACCTTGAATCCTGGGGTCAGTTTTGGGTCAGAAAAGGGACATGGAGTTGCCTGGAAAGGGCAACGGAGCTGGGGAAGGGGCTGGAGAACTTGTGAGGAGCAGCTGAGGGAGCTGGGGGTGTCCAGCCTGGAGAGAAGGAGGCTGAGGGGAGACCTTCTGCCTCTGCAACTGCCTGAGAGGAGGTTGGAGCCAGGGGAGGACAGTCTCTGCTCCCTAGGAACAAGTGATGGGACAAGAGAAAACGGCCTCAAGTTGCCCAGGGGAGGTTTAGGTTGGATCTTGGGAGCCATTACTCCATGGAAAGGGTTGTCAGGCCCTGGCCCAGGCTGCTCAGAGCAGGGGAAGAGTCCTCATCCCTGGAGGGGTTTCCAAGCCATATGGATGGTGCTGAGGGACATGAGTTGGTGGGGACTGGACAGTGCTGGGTAATGATTGGGCTTTGCAGTCTTAAAGGTCATTTCCAATCTAATTCATTCCATGATTGTATGACAATGAGCCACTGGAAGGAGTGGTTTGTGAAGCTTGGGAGGTCTCCCAGAGAGGAATTTCTGAGTGAATAGATGCTGAAGAGTTCCCCCAAGAGGTGGCAGTTCCTCTCAGGTAACTCCAGACTGGCTTCTGCCTCAGCCAGCACTGGGGGAGCTGCTCAGCCCTCTGCTTCCAATCTGCTCAGCATGAGGTGACTAAGGTGGGAAGGGGCCTGATGGCTGCTCCACCACTGCCTCAGGTGGCCTCGAAAGACCCTGCAGGTGCTTTTGTCACCACAGATTCATAGAATCACAGAACGTTAGGGGCTAGAAGTGACCTCTGGAGATCATCTAGTCCAACCCCTGCTGGAGCACGTTGCGCAAGATGGTGTCCAGCTGGAGTTGGAATGTCTCCAGAGAAGGAACATCAACACCCTCTCTGGGCAGCCTATCCCAGAGCTCTGCCACCTGAAGTTTTTCCTTATGTTTAGGTTGAACCTTCTGTGCTCCAGCTTCTGCTCCTTGCGCTGTCACTGGATACCACTGAAGTGTCTGGTCCCATCCTCCTGGCACCCCCTGTAGATATCTGGGACTTGGGGAAGAGGATGAACAGGCAGGATTGTGTCCGTCCACCACTGTCCCAGCCACCCTGCCCAGGGGACTCCTGCCCCCCTTGCCACTCCCTGTCCCCAGCAGTCCCTGGTGGGTCTGGGCAGTGACCTGAAAAAGTCACTTGTGCATGTTCTGGCACTGAGGGCCACCAAAACGGGGCTGAGGTCTGTGAATATGGGGAGCTGAGTGGTCCCCTGAGCTGGGGTCTCCCCGTGGGGTGCGTCATGGCCATGGCTCAGCAGTGACCTGGGAAACTTCACGTGGCTCCCGCCTGAATCTCATTGGACTCATCCTGGCCTGGCTTCTCCAGGAGCCCAGATGGCTTGGTGGTGGTGGTATTGTGAGGTGCTTGCAGGGCAGGTTTTCCTTCTCGAGTTGCCACAAGGGGAATTGCACCACTAGTCACCTGGGGTGGAGAAGCAGGGCTGTGGACAGGAGTTCACAGCTGTATGCTGCTGCCTTTCAGGCCAGTTTTGTTTGACTTGGAGGCCACGTAATCTCAGGCTTTCTTCTCTCCAGACTTCTCTACAAGAACAGGCAGAGAACACATGGATGCTTCTGTTCAGCAGGCTGTGTTGGGGACCATCCAGACCATCAGCCAGTTAAACTGGTTTATTTCCCCTATGTCCCACCGGATTTTCCTGGTGAGCTCATCACTGAAGCACAGGGTCCCTGCTCTTCTCCCAGCCTGACCCAGAAAAACACCACTGATCCTGATCCATATTTAAGGGAGTGTCTGTCCTGGTTCTGATTCCTCCTGCACAGGAGCTGCTCAGCGGTGCTGCAGGGCGCCTGGGGCTGCATGCAGGATATTCCCCTGGCACAGCCGAGACCTGTCCTGAGCAGGATCCCAGCAGAGGTCTGGAGAGCGGCCTGACCTGGGGTAGTCCAGCTCCATTTGACTCCATATCCTGCCTCCCGAAGCAGCAGGATGTTTGGGAAGGAGCAGAACAGGCTGAATGGGCTGTGGTGCCTCTGCTGTGTTTTCCCCACCACCGGCAAACCGCGGCACTGCAGCCTGGGAACCACAGCCAGTGCCCAGTCCTTCCTGTCTCTTGGGAGTGGGTTTGTTCCTTTTGTCTCTGAAGTTCAGCTGTCACACATCTGAGGTCTCTGCGTGTTTGGATGACAGCAGGTCCCCCAGCCTGCAGCAGGTCCATCCAACAGTAGATTCTCCACCTTCTATCCTGTTTCTTTGCTCTAAGGTTGTCTCACTGTCCCAATGAGTTCAATAACCCTTCCAGCCTCACAGTCCCCCCCAGCCAAGAGGTGTCACTCAGACCCTTTTCCTCCTCTCCCAACGCTGGAAACCAACCAAGCCAACTCTTTCCTCTTCCTGCTGTGAGAGTTACTATAGCACACAACCCCTCCCACCATCCTGGGAACTCAACTGCTTGGAAAGCTTCTTTTCCAATGGCTGCAAGGAGCCAAGGATGAGACCCCTTATCCCCCTGCCTGGTGCAGCCCTTGGCCCTGTTGAACCCTTGGCAGATGAGGAGGACTGTCAGGGACTAGTTTTCCAGCGCTCCTCCAGTTGGGCTGCTGAGATCAGCAGCCAAGTGCCGGTTCCCCTGTCGCACACTGAATCGCTCAGGGCTTTGCTTGCCCTGCCAAGGTACTGAGCTCCAAAATTAGGTCCTGGGACCAAAAATAACTAAATTAAAACCTATAAATTTTTCTCTTAACAAGCAGAAAATCCCAGGGCTGGAGGCTGAGGGACAACTTGTACCTGATTCTTATTTAAAAAAGCAATATCTGTTTGCTTGCTTGATATCACATTGTTCACCAAAGGAAACGTGGATGTGGAAAAAAACACCAGGAGAGCCTGTCTGATGTGGTCCGGTTGGAGCAGGTTGTGTTGGTGGTGCAGGGGTCTCAGAGACCATCTTGTCCTGTATTCCCAAAGTCCCTTTGGATTTCTTATCCCCTTTCTCCAGAGGAGCTGTGATTTGATCCAGCCTGGTGTGGCTGTGCATAGCTCTCTCAGAGGTAGACCTCTGAAACCCAAGGTTGTCTGAGCTCTGTGCAAACAATCAAGATCCCAGGGGACTTTTCTCAACAGTGGCATGTCCTGCTGTCCTCAACCTAAATATCCCAGCAGTAGTGAAATCTAGCCCTCGGGTGATGATGCTCCGGAGCTCTCCTGCAAGCTGGTGGTGGTATTTAAACTCCCTGAATGTCAGTGAGTTGGCTCTGCTAAGCAGCTCCAGAAATAACTCAGAAAGTGAAAAGGAAGGCAGAGAGCTCCCTGGAAGAGTGTGAGCTTGGGGGAGAGCAAGGCTGTCACCTGGCAGGATGACAGGGTCTTGGTTCTGGGTGGTGGGACTGGTGGGACTCCAGCTGTTGTGGGTTGGGTGGATTCTCTCTTGGGCTGCTGTGTTGGGCAGTCAAGGCATCATTTTGTATGGGCAACCTGTCCCCACAACATCTTCTGGGCTTGATGATACACTGTGATACCTGAGCAGGTCTCTGGGTGTGTTCCATGTTTGTCCCTTGGTCCTGTCCTGAGAAGGAGTTGAAGCTCTGAGGCTTCCTGAAGGTGAGGGAACCTTTCTTTGGTCATGGGCACCACCAAATGGAGGCAAGGCTGCCTGGGCTGGCAGGGGTGTGCCTGGTTTTGGGGGTGTGGGGGGAGCATTGACTTCCATTTTTCAGTCTATTTTTGAGTGCAGGATCATTGCAGCCTTGGAGGTGTGTGCTGGAGAGCTCCATGGCCAGGGTAGTAGACAGTTGGGAAGTGCTGAGGAACTGCTGTCCACTTGGAGGGTGAAGACCTTCTAGAGATGGATTTGGGATGTTTTCCCTCAGCAACCGGGACATACCTGGGCTGGAAGGGACCCTGAGTGGTTTGAAGGGTTTGGTGTTCAGCTGCTCAAGGCTTTGCTGGAGCCCTCATTACCTGAAGTTCCTGTCCAAGGCAACTCCATGAAGCACTGGTTGCTTCCAGCTCCTGCCTCAGGGCTTTTTGGGCGAAACCACCTCCTTCCTCAGTGGTTTTTGGGCAAAACCAGGAGAGACCAAGTGCAACAGTCCCGATGTTTTGATGCTAAAAGCTGTGAAATCTGGGGGAGGTTTCTTGGTGGCTTGCGTGCAGAAGGAGCACAAACCTGGTACTGTCCACACAAACAATCCCTGCAGCTCAGGAAATGCAGCTTTCCAAAGAGGTTAAACTTTTGGCTTGTCTAACTGTTGTTCAGCTGCTTCAGCACCCACCTTGTGACCCTGAGGAGCAGAAGGCACATTTGACCTTCTTCAAATTAATCTCAGAAGCTGTGGCTTTTTCCATCTGGTTGTAGTCCAGCTTGAGCTGGGGCTCAACAGAAGCTGGATAGGATGCACAGACTGCCTTGTGTCTCAAGATGGTTTTGAGTTTTCACCTGGTTGTGCTGGCTAGAAAGGCCAGGAGCTCTGGAAATATGTGTGTGCATGTTGGTGTCATTGGGCATGACTGACTGCAGCAGGAGCCTGGGGGGGGGTGACCCCAGTGTCACCAAGGTGGGAGGATAGTGGCTGCTGCCATGACACTGATTCCCAGTGCTCCCTGCAGCAGCAGAGCTGAGCATATTGCAGTGGTTTCAGAGGGAACAGGCTGGGATGCTCCTCTCCTCCTCCTCTGTACCATCCTCTTCTTGGTGGGAAGCCCAGCAAGACAATTATGAGCTGTGGGAAGGTCTGGATGCTGCCACCTCGGTGGAGGCACAAGGTGTGCAGGAGACATAGCTCTTCTTCCACCTCCCCTGGAGTCTGGTTAGCGCTGGCACTGGAAGCTGTGATGGGGGCAACTGGCTGGGAGAAATTCCCCAAGGACCTGTGTTTCCATCTGAGCCCAAGGGCAGAAGACCTTGGGTTGCAGCCCCACTGTGGTTCTGGGGGCCTGGAAGCACAGCAGTCTGCCCCAGACACTGCTCTTCCTGAGTTTGCTGTTGCCTCCTCAAGTCATTGTAGTGCCAGGGATGTGGGAATAATGATGCTGATGGCTGCCACTTGCTCTAGGCTGCTGCCATGGAGCAACAGCCTTGGTCCAAACATCTCCTGGTGGCACTGAGCATGGGCTGGACTGGGGCATCTCCCTGCAAGGCCCCACTGTCCCCTCACTGGGGCTGGGCACAGAGATGCCCTGTGCTTGCTTTTCACTTTTCTTACTTGCTTGGAACTTCATTATTACTTAATGAGATCTTTCCATTCTTGGCAACCTCTTGACCTTGAAGAAGGTGACAGGACTTGGCGAAATGGCGGGGAGCTGAATCAGGGCAGGTTTAGTTTGGATACTAGGAAAAGGTTTTTCAACCAGAGGGTGGTTTAGCACTGGAACAAACTCCCCAGAGCAGTTGTCACAGCACCAACCTGCCTGAGTTCAAGAAGTGTTTGGATGACGCTCTCAGGCACGTGGGGACAGGAGTTGGACTTGATGATCCTGATGGCCCCTTCCAACTCTGCATATTCTATGATTGCATGATTCTGTCATTCTATGATGGTTCTATAAAGTTTCATGCACCACACAGGGCCTCTGACAGTCGTTGAAATACAGAGCTGGGAGGTATTTTCTCTGCTGTTTGCTGGCATTTGCTGTACAACACCCTGCCCCTCTGGTTTCTCTGTTCTCTAGGAGGGGAGATGCTTCCTTCTGCTGTTGGGATGTGCTTGTGGGGCCTGAGGGGATGTGGTGATGGTAGGACTGGAACAAACACCTACTTCAGGAGCAGCAGTGCAGGTGGATCTGGGTCTTCCTTTCTTCTCACAGCAGCTTGGTTGGTTGGCAGTGCCAGCCCAGCTTCCTCCCCACACCATCCTCTTCAGCTATAGCCAGTCCCCCTTGCCCAGCTTCTGCTGATGAGGTTTTTCTTTTCTCCACCCACCTCCACATCTGCATCACTTAACTGGCTTGACACGTTTTCCTTAATGCTGCCTAAATAATTCACCTTGACTAGGAGCAAAGCGGTGTCAGCCTCCAGGGAAGCTCTCTGTGAATGCTGAGTGACTGGGGGTGTCTAGGGTGCCAGCAGGGTGCAGACATCCACCCTGAGCTCAGCTCTGGATGTGTAGCACACCCAGGTAACCCTGAGTCCCAAGGGGCCAGGGATCCTACTATCAAAAGCTGAAATACTCCAGGCTAAGAAGATTTGATTTCCTTAAGCAATTTGGAAAATCCTTGGTATTTTTTTCCTTTTCTTCTGTTGATGAAGAAAAAACAAGTCCATTTGGATTAGGCTGGTGTGAACTTGTTCCCATGGCACCTGCACACCCCTTCTCCCCGCTCAGCCTGCACCATGAGGCTGATGGGCTGCTCTTCTGCTGCTGGACCTTGTCCTCAGCTTCTGCCTTCTTGCACCAAAAATCCTCAGTTCAGAAGAGCTTGATTGAGCTGTCCCACTCCTGCTGTAAAACATTGAACTGGATCCTCCGGCACTTGGGTCCTTCTCTTGGTCTGTGCTTTTGCAGAGCTGGTGCTGGAGATGAGGACATCAGCGCACTGAGGACATCAGTGCCCAGAGGAGTGGACAGCTCTGCTGCCTTGCTGCACAGCTCTTCCTGTGGCACCAGCCCACGGAGCTGGAAATCCTGGAATAACAAATGTCCAGAAATCTTTGCCCCTTCCAACTCTGCATATTCTATGATTGCATGATTCTGTCATTCTATGATGGTTCTATAAAGTTTCATGCACCACACAGGGCCTCTGACAGTCGTTGAAATACAGAGCTGGGAGGTATTTTCTCTGCTGTTTGCTGGCATTTGCTGTACAACACCCTGCCCCTCTGGTTTCTCTGTTCTCTAGGAGGGGAGATGCTTCCTTCTGCTGTTGGGATGTGCTTGTGGGGCCTGAGGGGATGTGGTGATGGTAGGACTGGAACAAACACCTACTTCAGGAGCAGCAGTGCAGGTGGATCTGGGTCTTCCTTTCTTCTCACAGCAGCTTGGTTGGTTGGCAGTGCCAGCCCAGCTTCCTCCCCACACCATCCTCTTCAGCTATAGCCAGTCCCCCTTGCCCAGCTTCTGCTGATGAGGTTTTTCTTTTCTCCACCCACCTCCACATCTGCATCACTTAACTGGCTTGACACGTTTTCCTTAATGCTGCCTAAATAATTCACCTTGACTAGGAGCAAAGCGGTGTCAGCCTCCAGGGAAGCTCTCTGTGAATGCTGAGTGACTGGGGGTGTCTAGGGTGCCAGCAGGGTGCAGACATCCACCCTGAGCTCAGCTCTGGATGTGTAGCACACCCAGGTAACCCTGAGTCCCAAGGGGCCAGGGATCCTACTATCAAAAGCTGAAATACTCCAGGCTAAGAAGATTTGATTTCCTTAAGCAATTTGGAAAATCCTTGGTATTTTTTTCCTTTTCTTCTGTTGATGAAGAAAAAACAAGTCCATTTGGATTAGGCTGGTGTGAACTTGTTCCCATGGCACCTGCACACCCCTTCTCCCCGCTCAGCCTGCACCATGAGGCTGATGGGCTGCTCTTCTGCTGCTGGACCTTGTCCTCAGCTTCTGCCTTCTTGCACCAAAAATCCTCAGTTCAGAAGAGCTTGATTGAGCTGTCCCACTCCTGCTGTAAAACATTGAACTGGATCCTCCGGCACTTGGGTCCTTCTCTTGGTCTGTGCTTTTGCAGAGCTGGTGCTGGAGATGAGGACATCAGCGCACTGAGGACATCAGTGCCCAGAGGAGTGGACAGCTCTGCTGCCTTGCTGCACAGCTCTTCCTGTGGCACCAGCCCACGGAGCTGGAAATCCTGGAATAACAAATGTCCAGAAATCTTTATATGGGCCCTGTTGTGTGGCTTGACCCTGGGGCCACCAGCCTGCATGCTGGGGCCAGCCCTGCCTCGCTCAAGTGGTACCTCCTGGTGACACTGCCACCTTTCCTCGGGTCCCTGGGGACACCTCAGATTCTGGTGACAGCCCAGCTGAGCGGTGCAGCTTCGAGGAGTGGAAAACAGATCTGCTGCTTCTCCACTGTGCATTGTTAAAGGTTTCACCTCCCCCAAAATGACACATTGCAAGCAAAAATAGAACAAGACAGAACACACAGACCCACCCACACCATCCCCACCACCCGGCAGCCAAGTGCACACGGTGCCAAACCCTTGGGTTTAAAAGCTGGTGCTTTTTCACCCTCTCTCCTCAGCCATGTCACCACCTGCCTCAGCCCAGCAGGTAGTTCCGTGTCCCAGCGAGCTGACCATGGCACCAGAGCCACTCCACTGTCACCAGGATGATCACCATCCCACCTACACCTTGCTTGGACCCAACCTCGAACTTCCCCTGGTGGGTCTGGGGACAGGGATGTCTCCTGGCAATGGTGTTGGGGTGAGGAATAGTCTCACCCACTGCTCAGTAGTGCTGTGGAAGTGACATGAAGGACAGGTTTGGCTGGGGAGTCACCTCAGTGGTGGCACAGCTTGCCTGGAGCTGGGGCTGTCTTCTGGGCCCAGCAAGGAATCTCTCCTCCCAGCCAAGAAGCTGGGTCCAATTTCCTGAGTGCCACCAGCATGACGGGTTGCATGTGCTAAGCACAGTTGGAGCAAGCAAGGATCTGGCTGGAAAACATCCAAGAAGGGAAGAGTTGCTCCAGGAGATGGTGTAGCTGTCAGCCACTTGTCAGAGGCACCTAACAAGGCTGTGGCCTATGTTCCCCACTCCAAACCCTCCTTTCCTCAGGAGCAGGAATGTCAACTTGGAGGAGAGATTACCAAGGCCTTTGTGAGATGTCTCTGCAATCCCCTTCTGGGGCATGAAGTCATGACCCTTTGGTTTCACATCCCAGGATTTTGAACAATGGGAGCAGAGTTGATTGGTGATGGTGCCTTGTGGGAATGGCTTGGAGGGGTTGGGCATGGCTGTCAGGAAGGAGATGGTGGAGAAATGAGCAGCTGTGGCTGGAGGGAGGTCTAGGGATGAGGGGAAACTTATCCTGGCTGAGCACAGGAACGGTTTGGCTGGGACATGTCACCTGACCAGCCCAGGGCTGTGAGGACAAGGCAGCAGGGCAGAGCTCATCCCTGTCAGCCTGCACGTGGCACCATGGGTGGCCATGTAATGTCCCTCTGTCACCCTAGGCTGCTCCAGTTCCTACACAGAGGGAGCGGGGACAGAGCTGTCCTGTGGGGATTGTTGGGGCTGTCACTTGTTCAGCTGCTGTGCCACAAGAAGAGAAGTTCAGCAGAGTCATTGCAGAGCAAATCCTGCCTCAATTTCCCCATGGAAGTAACCCAGTTAACAGTGACTCCTCCCAGGGATTCTGTGAAGTCACTTGTGCCCTCTCAGGGCAAGGAGATGGTGCTTGGTGAGCTCTTGGGAGGGCTAAAACGTCCAGGACCTGGCCAGGGTCTAGTCCAGCACTTTCCTCCCGAGGAAGAGGAGACACATCAAGGACAGACCTGGTGGCTTTGTGGCAGAGTGGCTGCCCTGAGATCCTGTTTAGATCCTGTTTATCTGTGCTGTGGCCATGAGGTGTTTGCAGCAGGTGTCTTACCCACACACGCCTGTGCCCTGGTGGGTTTTCTCGCACCTTCCGTGCTCTGCATCTGCTCTAACAAGCCTTGGCCCAAGCATGGGCTCATTTTCTCCCCCTTTAGCCTTCTAGCTTTTCCTGGGGAAGGCTGGGAGAGAAACAAGCTGGAAGTAAATAGCCATTAGAAGGAACCACTCTCTTAGGAGTTAAAAACCCAGCAGGTTTTAAACCCCAGTCAGGTTTGTGCTTTGGTTCACATACAGCCACAGGCAGCCTTCCTCCAACATGCACTGTGCCTGGGCAGACCCCACCACGGGGACTTGTTCTGCAAGGGCACAGAGCCAACTGCCACCAGCTCTTAGCAGAAGAGCATCCCTGCTCTGCCTGGGGCAATCACAACCTGGGAGCAGGGCCAGGTGCCACCATGGATGGTGGGGACCTGGGGACGCATACGACAATGCTCTGGGATGTGCTGTCTCATTGCAACCCTTTTGTTTCCCCGGGGATGAGGGTGGGGTCCCGCAGCCCTTGGTGGTCCCATAGTGCCCTACAGCCCCCGTGGGCACCGCATCATTCTCCCTCCTGCCCTCCAGCCTGTTCCACTCCCACCATCCGGGGGCGGTTGGGAAACCGACAGCTGGAGCTGGAGCCACCGGTGCCAGTGCCGGCTCAGTGCTGCCATGCCAACCCCGTTGCCATGGCAATGGGCACCCAATGGGCGACAGGCAAGGCCAGGATGCCCCCAAAAATGTGATGCCGTGCTCCTGGAATCACCAGCTTGGGGCTGGGAGCCTATGCCTGGTCCCTGCCACTGCCCAGATCACCAGATCAGGGCCACTCCAGAGTGAAGGTTGTAATGGGGCAGGTAAAACCCTGCAGAGAAAATGGGGAGGGGAGCTGTTTATACACAGCCCCTTCAACAACACCCCCGAACCGTCTTGGAGGCTAATTTAATTAAAATTGGTGGATCTTACATAATCCTTGCTTGCTGTTCTGCGGGGAGCCACCCCCACCCACTGCCAGGGAGGGCACCTCGGGCGTGTGTTGGGGAGGCAGCAGGGCACAGGGGGACATGGTCCCCAGAGCCAGTTGCCCCCTGGGGGCACTTGTGTTTGGCTCCTCCTTACATAACTCGCAGCAGCCCCGTGTTTGTACGGCTCCAGATTGAGGACTAGGTGCATATCAAAACAATTTAAAATAACTCTGCCTTTTGTTAGCACCGCAGCTATCTTTAGAGGAGACTTGATTTGATTTGAAAGCCCTCCTCAGGAGGTTGCCGTGGGGTAGATCCTCAGCCTGTCACCAGTTTAAAGGGACACGGGTGTGCTGGAGATTCTTGGCTGGAAACGCTGCATTGATGATGGCTTATTGATCTGATAAATCCTACCTTGCCCGCACAGCCACCCCCTCATCCTTCGCCTGAGGTTTCCACAGCTGGAGGTCCCTGTGTTTTGTTCCAAGTGTTGCTTGTCACCCATTTGTCATGTTGTCCCCTTCCAGTACTGGGCCAGGCTGGCTCTACAGGCGTCCTGCTCCACAGCTCCCTGAGCTCCCTGTGCTCACAGCAGCTGCTGGGTCTCTCAAACATGCTGAGATCAGGAGGAGGGCAAGGACCAGCTCTGTGTTTTCATGGTGAACCCATGGACTGTCACCTCTGCAGACACGGCGGTGGCTCAGGAGGCATCAGGCACCCTCTGTGACAATGTCCCCTGCTCCAGCTGGAGCTGAGGAAGCTGGGGACTAGTCAAGTGACCATGTCTCAGCAGTTGCCCTGTCATCAGCCTGACTTCAGCTGTGGCAGAGGGAGAGGGGTATGCGGGTCACCCACAGTGGGCAGGGAGGCCAGGGTCCCTCAGCTCCTGGGGCTGCCCACTTGAACCTTTTCCTATCCCAGACAGGACCAGCAGCAACATAGAGACCTGGCATTGGCCTGAGGCACTGGGGCTGCCAGCAGCGTGGCTGAGCAGAGGCTTTGTCCCCCCTTTCTTTTGCTTGCTCCCCACTTGCAGGTTTCCTCTGGCTCTGATTTCTTCAACATTTACCCCTTCCTTCCCCCCCAGGAAACAGGAGCAGTTCCAGACCAACCCCGATAGCTACAACGGAGCAGTACGAGAGAATTATGCCTGGTCCCAAGACTACAGTGACCTGGAGATTAAAGTGCCTGTGCCCAAGCACATTTTAAAAGGCAAACAGGTAAAGCAGTTTGTGCCTTTCCCTCAAGGTGCCCTGTGTTTGGAGCAGGAGAGCTCCTTGCTGTTCCTGCTCGAGGAGCCAGGAGGTGGTTGTGTCTTTTTCTCAGGTGCTTGGTGAGTGGCTGGTGGGGATGGGCAGTCTCAGCCTGGCTGCATTCCTGGTGTGACTGGTATCCCACAGGGTTCCCTGGTACCACGTGACACTTTCTGTGCTTTTTCCTCTGCTGCCACTGACTGCAAACTTGCACGCAGGTTTCAGAGCCTGACTGGGCATGGACACTCCTTCCCCTTGTGCTTCCCTCTGGCTTGGAGTGTCTCCTGCTTTTCGTTTGCCAGCAGGAGCAGTCAGAATGGCTCGTCTGGCACTGTGGAACTGGAGCAGGCACAGCCAATGGGAGACTTGACCTGCTCTGGGTGGAGGGCAGGTGGGCTGGGGCACAGGCTGGGAAGCCAGACCCTCTCCCTGGCTGCCTATGTGGGCAGGGAGGTCCCACCTCCTTGATCCAGGCAGGAGCTTCTCCAATTTTCCTTAGTGAGGGACTCAAAAGGAACATGCTCACGGCTGGGGTTATATGGACCTGGAGGTCTGAACTCTCCTGTCTTTCCTGAGTGCTACGCTCTGTGGCTGATCCTGTATTTTTCCATTTAGGAAGTCAGCTCACCCCCACCCCTGTTCTCCTGTGCTTCCACAGTGGCTGAAATGAGCACGCTTGGGTTTGTTCACCAGCTCCAGCCTACACAGCTCCTTATCATGCCAAAAGCCTGTCATTGGCAGCAGCAGCCTGGACCAGAGGGGTGAGGGAGCAAACGGCTGCCACGAGCACAGCAGGGGCACCAGGAGATGCAGCTCTCCCAGTGGGTGTCTCCAACAAACCCAGTCTTGCCTCTTGGAAGGATTGATGTTCCGGACAGATGTTCCATCCCTCTGCATTGTGTTGTGATCACGATGCCTCTCCCTGCCCAGGGAAGTGCCCTTTGTGCCAGGGAACTTGTGTTCTTGCCAAAAAAACAAAAGATCATCAGGCTTCATTCACTCCATCTTTTGCCACCCAGAAGCACAGCGGCCTTGTGGGTTCTTGGAGGAGCTGCCATGGGCCCTTTCCTTGGCACCAGGCTGTGCCACCACCACGGAAGAGCCCCCATGTGTCAGGGGATGGTTATGGGGGCTTAGGTTTGTGCCTGTACTGCCCTCAGGGCAATTGATTGTTCAGCTCCTGGACTTCCCTTTTCCTTGCAAGGTGTCTCATGGTTATTTGGTTCATTCCTCCCTCTGGGCCCAGCCAAATTTTCAATTTAAAGTGATTCTTTCAATCCCTTCCAGCCCCCAGGGACTGAAAGTAGGGAGAGGTCATGGGTCAAAACAGGGCGGATCAGTGCGATTTGAAAACTTGGTGGACCTGGGGACACTTTGATGGGTTCCTGCAAAAGAAAAGTGTTCCCCTATGTTCATGCAGCTTCATCTGTTGGTTTTTTTTTAATTATCTGATTTTTTTGGCTTCTGCCTGTCAAGGTGAGATTAAAAATCTCCCCCATTTGGTCTCTTGGCTCAGAGTGTGCCCTGCTCTAATACTGCTCAAAATCTTCCTTCTGACACCTTTTTGGATTCACTGTTGCTATGGCAGATTTTCACATGGGTGAGCTTCAGGTTTCCTTGTAGGGAGCTCCAAAAAGTGTATGTGGAGCAGAAACCAGCGATGGAGCAGAAACCAGGTGGGAGCATCTTCCTCTACCATCTCCACCTCTCTGATCCACTTACAACACAACAGAGGCCCACGAATCCAGGCACTTAAGCACAGATAATGACCCTGAGCCTCTCTCTTTGCCTGGCTTGAAGGAGCTGAGTGGGATCCCTCTGTAGACTGGTGTTGGCTTGTTTGGTGCACATGGGTGGCTGTGGGTGCTCCAGCACCCCCAAGCTGGGAAGCCAGAGCCCAGGGTTGGGTTCCTGACAAACTCACAAAGAGACGGGAGGGTTCTGGCCCACCCTGGTTTTGCTCCAGGCAGCACAGTGCAGTGGGATGGTGCTGATGGCAGGGATGAAGGGAGGAGGACCAGCCCTTGGACAGACTGGCCACCATCCCCAGGGTGCCAAGCCCAGATGGGTTTTCCACCAAGGCACCCAAGGAGGAGCTGCTGCCCATGTAGGCCAAGCCTTGCCCTCACTGGGCACCACCACATGGACATCTCTTTTCAGGTGGTGGGGACAGGGCTCCTTGATGGTGCCTGCTGTGCTCCTGTCCACACTGCCGCTGGGCTGCTCCTGTTCTCCTATCCCGGCTACATCTGGGCTGGTGGGACAAAAGGGGCCTTTTTTGCTGGCTGTGGGCAGAAGTGGTTGTTGTGATGATGTCTGGTGCAGCGAAGTGGCAGCGTGGCTTGGATCTTTCTCTTGGATCTCTTCTTCCATTTCAGTTTCTCTCCTCCCTCTCCTAACACCCTGCTGGGCCCAGGCCCCCTCCAGGACGACCATAAATAAAACCCCTCACAGTTGATTGCTCCCATCCCCGTGGATCACACAGCAGTGATGCTTCATCTGCATCTTCCATATCTCCAGCCTCCCTGTACCTCCATGCCCCAAAGAAGAACCCCTAGAAGGCAACTTGGACGTCACCTTGTTTTTTTCCCTTTGACCTCCGTGTGCTGTGCTGAGAGCCCTTGCAGTCAGTGGTGGCAGAGAGGAGACCCTCATCCCTGCACCTCAGCCCTGGGCTGGAGGAACCTGCTCTGTGCTGCAGCCTCCCCCAGAGATGTTCCCAGTCCAGGAGGAGCTGCCTTCTCCAGGGGCCACGTGATGGGTGAAAGCCACGTGTCCTCTGTGATCTGTCAGAGCCAGAGCTTGTGTTCCTTCCCCCCCTGCCACTGCTGTCCTGGTCATGCTCCCATTGGTCCTGTCCAAGCCCTGGCAGCTCTGAGGCTGTCACCTGTGATGGGTTTGGGGACTTTCCCCAAGTGCTATCTATCAGGTGCAGCTGCAGTGCCCTCCCCGGCTGGAGCAGCTCTGCCCATGTCTTGCCTGTGTGGAGCTAGTGAGCTGCTGGAAGTCTCCTAGGGACTGGATAATGGAATAACATTTCAAATGAGATCTGCAGAGCAGGAGGAAGATCTGGGGGAACTCTGGGAGAGAATGCAGGCAAAGCTCACTGCAGTCTCCTCCTCTTGGGCTGGGGATGGGGCAGCACTGTGGGCCAGAAACCTGCCCCTTCCTGGCCAGATCCTCTCTGATTCTCCCGGTTCTGGTTCTGCTGGTGGCAGCGCCAGACCAGAGGGGAAAGGAGGGAGCAGATGGTCTCTCTGGAAACCGAGGGCACTGCGTTCCACACTGCAAAGTCTCAGCCTGCCTTGTCTTCCCGGGGAACAGTCCTGTCACTGCCTCAGCAGGTGAGAGCAGGGCTCCCCATATGGTTGATGCGGAGGGGGACTGGCCCTGTTCCTGAGGACAGAGCTGCCCCATCCCCTCATCCCTAGGGTGGGGAGAAGGGAGCAGTACCACAGCATCCACACCCTTTCCCAGTAGGAGATCTGGGCCCAGCCCAGTGCTGGCTCTGGCCATGGACATGAAGCCAAGCAGCCCTGCCTCGTGGAGAAATCCCCACATTGCTGCCACTGAGTGGGGAGGTGCTGGGAGAGACACAGGGCTTTGCCCAGCTCATCACTACCATGCTCGGCACCCCTTCTGCTCCCAGCACCTCGGGACACCTCACACCTTTGGGTGCTGCATGGAGGAGCTTTCTCGTTTCTCTGTGAGAAGAATGAGGCATGGGGCAGTGACAACAACAGCAGCAGCTGCCTAAAATCCTTCTAGGGCTCCATCTGCCTTCCATTTCCCAGATGCGTTTCCTTTTTCCTCCAAGCTGTTGCTATTTGCTCTGCAGGTGTAGCAGGATTCCCACCCTCTTCCTCCATGCTCCTCACTCATCCCCAGTGAGTGCACTTGATCCCAAACCCCAACTAGCACAGCCAGAGGGCAAGCAGGAACCTTCCTGATCATTTTCCCTCTCTCTGGGTTTCCAGGTGTCTGTGGATATCAGCAGCAGTACGATCCGTGTGGCAGTGCTGGAGGGAAGCAGCCAGTGCGTGCTCATGGAAGGGAAACTCACCCACAAGATCAACACTGAGAGTTCCCTCTGGAGCCTGGAGCCAGGGAAGTGTGTTTTGGTAAGGGCTTGGCTTTGAAAACTGGAGTAGCTGGAAGTTGGAGCCAGATCTGGCCATGTCTGCCTCTCCCCATCTAACATCTGTTTAACTTTGCCTCTGCCTGTGTCCAGGCCCTGCCACCAGCTCCCAAGCTGCTGCTTGGGCTGAGTACCCATAGTGTGGTGAAGTGCTGGCAGAGTAGCATGTCCCTGGGGACAGGTGAGGAGGGTCCCCAAGCTCCACCCTGCGGTGGTGGGAGCATGTCCATGACCTAGTGGTGGTCGTTCTCTTCTTATCCTAGCACTCAGGGTCTGTGAGTGGAGAGAGACCCTGGCATGGCAGCACCAGGCCAGTGCAGTGCACCCATCCTTGCCAGCTTTATGTTCTGACTCTCCTGGCCCTGCTCCTACTCCCACATCCCAGCAGATGCCTGTTCCCTGCTACTCATTTCCCTCCTGCCTCAGGTTTCTCAGCCAGTTTGAAGCAGTCTCTGGGGCTACTTCTCTGCTTGCCCTCAGCAGGCACTGTGGCTCACTGCATGCCTGCCACCCCACCCCACACCTTCCCTCTCAAGGTGGTCTGGGGGCTGCTGCTGTCCAGCAGTGTGTTGCTGGGGGGTTTCCAGCCTGGGGACTCGTTTTGGGTGTGCTCCAAATGGCCAGGCTGAGGAGTTGAGCTCTATTGTCCTGAGGCTGTGTCCACAGCTGGAGCTGTAACTAAGCTAGGGGTCTCAAGTGTCAAAGAGTTCTCAAACTCCTGCATGAGCTTTGGGATATTTCTGGAGTCCACTGGTCACAGCAAAGCCTTCTCCTTCCCAGCCTACCCCAGCAGGGTACTGTCCAGATCAGGAGCTTTGTGGGCAGGACTCCTGAGTCTCCCCATTGCCCTGGACCACAGTGGGGTGACAGCTGCTCTCCTCCAGCCTGGGGACCACAGGAGGAGCTGAGCAACCATCAGCTGCTCTGTGCATGACCTTGCTTCCTTCTGGGCTTGGTTCTGCTGGCTTGGAGGGGTCTCCCACCACTTTCCAGCAGGGATGCTGATGGTGACTTGGAAATGTCAAATTTGCCTTGTCATCCCAAAGGTCCCCCCTTCATGTGGTTGGGGTTGCAGCAGTGTGGGAGGCAGGAGAAGGACCCGTGCCTGTGCTTTCAGATGATAGTTTTGCAGCTGCTGATGGTTGACCATTCTGCTTATCTCTCTCCAACCACAAGCAGCTGCACTGGCCCGAGGTGGGGGCTGTGCAGACCCTTCCTGGCCATGGGCTGTGCCACTGTGTGGGCTCTCCCAGCCCCTCCCTGTGCTGGGAGTGGGGCTTTGCCGCCTGTGTCCGTCTTTGCCCTCACCTTTTCCACCCAAAGGCTTTCTGAGATGCATTTCAGGAGCTCTCATGGCTACTGTGAGCCCCTGGAAGAGGTTCCAGCTGCCCGGCTCAGGCACAATTATGAATCCTGGGCAGACAGGGAGTTGGCTCTGAGCCATCTGCTGTGTGTCACCTGAGTGACAGCAGATGGGCACCCAAACCAAACCCCTGCAGCGGGAAATCAAGTGGGAATGTGCTTAGGGTCGTGTGTGGGGAGGCCGTGTGGGGGCAGATCCGTATGGATATACCCAGGATGACAGGCTGCTGCCAGGAGGGTGAGGTCCCTGCAGGAGGGAGGAGCTGCTCCAACTCTGTTAGGTCCTTGGAAGGACGTGAAAAAGGAGGTGGTGGCATCATCAACCTACATCTTTAACATTTTCTCAAGCTTCTTGAAAATCAGCTGGTCTGAGAAGAGGAACAATCCTGGGAAGGAGTAAACCTGTTCAGGAGGAGTTGGCCCAATGAGTGGCTGGAGTCCCTGGTGGGTGTTTCCAGGATCAGCAAAGGGAGGGAATGTCTGTGCTGGTGCTGGGGGAGGATGGGGATGGTGGAGCAAGACTCAGGGCCTTGCAGAATGGCTGCTGGTGGCACCGGAGCTGTCCTGTTACCTCCAACCCTGGAACTGGGTCTTGCCTCGAGTTAGCACAAGTGCAGGATGGTGAGGAGCTCCAGCTGGCTGCCAGCATATTGATGGTGGGATGAAATTTCACTTGAAGAATTGTAAGGTAACTGGAGCAGAGTGAGTAATTCTCACTCAAAATTGTCTCCTTTTTTTGTGTTCAGAGTAGCCAAAATTGGTCCATGAGTCCTCACAATTCATTCATCAGGAGACATGCAGCCACATGCTCATGGATTGGGTTGGGTTGGGCTGGAGGGCTGATGAGGCCTGGGGCCCTTTCTGTACCTGGGTTTGGGTCCAGGTGTTGTGCAGCTCCTTGTGAGCTCCAGATGTGGCAGTCAGGAGTGTCTTCATCCCGTGAGATGCCACAAGATATCACGTGGCTTCTCTCCCCCAGCCAAAACCGGACTCATGGAACTCACTCAGTGCTGAGGTTGCCCGAGGAAATCCTGGCCACCTTGGTCACTTCTTGGTGCACCTTGGTGGCTCTGTCTAGAAAAAAGTCCACATGTACTCATGGTTTCAAGGTCTGTGAGTTTGAGGCAACCTCTGCGGGCAGGATCGATCTGTGCTTAGTGGTGTCCATCTGGGAGAGTCCCAGCTCAGTGCAGAGAGGCTTTTGGGTCCCATGCACTCTTGTAGGACACATCAAGGACCATTAGGATCTGTGTGCTTTCCAGGCTGCTGTTCCAGCTGTCTTTCATGTCCTTGGCTTCCCCTGCCCCCTGCTCATCTCTCTTCTTCCCCCAGATCTTGTCCTAGGATGGTTATTTTACTGTTTAACTCCTTCCAGTGCTGCTTTCTCTGTCCTGTCTGGACTTCTTGCCTGTTTGTCCTCTTCATGTGTCTGCTCGCTCTTCAGCAACTCCAGCAAAGCCCCTTGGATTGCTCTGCCTTTCTGGGCTCAGCATCAGCCTGTTACCCAGCTCATCCTTGGTACACTCATGATTTGCACACAGTTGTGTCAAAACTAAGCATTTTGCTGATGCCACCATGCATGGCTGAGGCTCTGTCCCCGCCTTCTCTTGCTGGGGATTATGTCCCAGGATCATGTCCCAGGATCATGCCCCTGCCAGTGTCGAAGCCCCACTCCTGGGTATAATCCCTGTGCTCTCCCTTCCATGTCACACCTGCTTGCTTGTCAAAAGTGAGATTAAAATAACTTCACACAAGCTGTTTTTAGAAATCTCTGCTGGGTGCTGTAAACAAGTTTGGGGATTTTTTTCCATGTTGAGGATTTCCCCCCCCCCATGTCCCAGGATCATGCCCCTGCCAGTGCTCCAGCATTTGTTATCCATGCTTAGGCCTTTGTCACCAAGTCCTGCCTTGAGCAGCTATTACAGTCCTCAGCTTGTCGTTTCGTGAGCCACGAGGCTGAGTGAGTAACAATCTGTGGTGCCCTCCCTGTGCCCTGCCCTCCACACACTGCTGGAAATGTGACCAGCTGCCACCCCAAAACATCCCCCACTGACTTTTGGGGTGACACCTGCTGTTCCAGCAGAAAGGCAGGTGGTGAGATACTGTTTTTCCAAGACCTATTGGCAGCATCTCTCCAGCTCTGACAACGTATTTAGGATTGGGGAAGAAACCTCAAGCTGTGACAAAGCCCTGAGATTTGTCCTTGTCAGGAGTTCCCAGCTCCCTTCTGGAGCCCCCCAGGCTTTCTGCAGCTCCCCAAGGGAGCGTGCAGCCTCATGGGGTCCTGTGGAACAAACCCTGGAGCCTTTCTCCGGGGGTGGATGGGGCCTTCACCCTGTCTGGCTGAGCCCAGATGTCTGCCACAGTCTCCAGGCTCTGTCTTACCTCGACCTTCCAGTCCAGTTCTGGAGCTCTATTCCAAGAAAGATACAGACATGCTGGAACGTGTCCAAAGGGCCTCAAGGATGATCAGGGGGCTGGAGCACCTCTTCTATGAAGACAGACAGAGAGAGCTGGGGTTATTCAGTCTGGAGAAGAGAAGGCTCCAAGGAGACCTTATTGTGGCCTTCCAGTATCTTAAGGGAGCCTACAAGAAAGCTGATGAGGGACTTTTTAGGATGTTAGATAGTGGTAGCACTACCACTGGGGAATCAAAACTGGGGGTGTGTTGATTCAGATTATGCTTCAGGAAGAAGTTCTCCGCCATGAGGGTGGTAAGACACTGGAACAGGTTGCCCAGAGAGGTGGTAGAAGCCCCGTCCCTGGAAGTTTTCAGGGCCAGGCTTTCAGGTTTCAGGACCAGGTGGCTTTCAGCAACCTGGTGTAGCGGGAGGTGTCCCTGCCCATGGCAGGGGGGTTGGAACTAGATGATCTTTGAGATACCTTCCAACCCAAGCCATTCTGTGATTCTATGATTCTCATGCTCAAGCCCCTGCTGAGGCTCTTGTAACCCAACTAAGTGCTGGGCTCAGTTGATGGGAACCATTGGCTAAAACATGTCCAAGAACCAACCTGAGCCCCTGCTCCCTGTCCTGGGGGCTGGACCTGCCCATGGCCAGTGATTCCAGCACCACTTCAAAACCCCAAAACTCCAAATTCAAGGTGACAGAGCTTTGCCCTGACCCGTGGGAGGCTCATGTTGGAAAGTGGGGCTCCCACTTCGGAGCGAGTCCCACTTTTACATCTCTCCCCCTGGAATAAAGGGGCTGAGCATGTTCCCCAATGGACTCAGCACAGGCTGCAGAGGTTAATTAATTATTGTTTGCAAAGCACGCGGTGCTGGAGCGATGCACGCTGCCAAAAGCTGCTGAGGAAATGAAGAATTCTGTCTGCCCAGTAGGGTGGGAAGCAGGATGTGGTAAATAAAGCAAGGACCAGGCATGGGAAGGGGGCAGGGAAGGTCCCCCAGACTGGAGCTGCCTTTCCCCCCTGCTCTCTGGATTGGGAGGGGAGTTTCACAGGATCACAGAATGTCAAGGGTTGGAAGTGGTCTTTGAAGATCATCCAGTCCAACCCCCCTGCCAGAGCAGGACCAAAAAACTAGGGCAGATCACTCAGAAAGGCATCCAGACAGATGTTGAAAGTCTCCAAAGAAGGAGACTCCACAACCTCTCTGGGCAGCCTGTCCCAGGGTTCTGTCACCCTCACAGGAAAGAAGTTCTTCCTCATGGTGAAGTGGAACTTCTGTGCTTGAGTTTGAATCCGTTGCCCCTCATCCTATCACAGGGCACAAGTGAAAAGAGGTTGTCAGGGTTTGGTGCTTCCCACCTGGTCTGTGGGGTCTGAAGATGGGGTTGTTCAGCCTGGAGAAGAGGAGGCTCTGAGGTGACCTTATCAGCATTCCAATACCTGAAAGGGCCCTACAAGAAAGCTGGAGCAGGACTTTTTGCACGGGCATGTAGAAAGAGGACAAGGGGCACTGGTTTACAACTTGAAGAGGAAAGATTTAGGGTAGATATTAGGAGGAAATTCTTTACTATGAGGGTGGTGAAACCCTGGAACAGGTTGCCCAGAGAAGCTGTGGCTGCTCCATCCCTGGCAGTGTTCAAGGGCAGGTTGGATGGGGCTTGGAGGTCTAGTGGGAGGTGGGAGGTGTCCCTGCCTGCACAAGGGGGTTGGATCTAGATGATCTTTGAGGTCCATCACAACCTAACTCATTCCATGATTCTATGATTCTGTGCTGGTGGGAAGGACAGTGGTGGCGGCAGGTAGGAAAGAGGGGATGGGATTCCCTTCCCCGTGTGCTCTGGGATGGAGGTGCCTGAAAAGCCCCAGGGTTGTCTGGTGTTGGTTTGTCCCTCTTCTGCCAGCCTGGCTCTGGTGGGGATGGCAGTGCCATGACAGCAGGGTTTGCACCCATGCTGTCACCAGGGTTGGTCACACCTCAGTGTCAGCACCTCAGGGACATTCCTCTGGTTCCAAACAGATTGGAGGGTGCTCCTGCTGCTGGTGGGAGCTGACCCATGTCTCCTCCTGCCCACCCAGGGCACGATGCTCCCAGGGGATGTGTCCATTCCCCACCTGCCCACCAGCATTGGGAAGCCCATGAGCAAGCCCGCCACAGCTCTTCCACCCCTGGAAAGTGGAACTGTGCAACTAAGGAGAATAATCATGCTTGTCTAGCTGGAAAAACTAATGCCTTCCCAGAGGTGGAATATTTTACTGGCTTTGCTCTCCAAGAGGGATTAAGGCCCGGCCACCCTCTCTTGTATTAATTGGTTCCTTTTCTTCGTGCCACAGAGACACTCCTGGCCACATAACTCCAATGTTTTGCCATGTTTTCCCCTTCAGAGCTGTTGAGCTTCCAGGGAGGTTTCAGTAAATTGTGTTGTCTGCCTTTATGGATGATTTGGCAGAGAGGCCGACAAGTGCATCAATCTTTCCTGCTGCTGGGATTCTTGCTGAAATAATACAGGAAGAAGAAGCTCACCCTTCCTGGCAAGAAATCTCCACAAAAAAAGCAAGTCGGAGATCCCAGTCTGGGATGTTCCCAGTGTGGAATGTTCCCAGTGTAGGATGTTCCCAGTGTGGGATGTTCCTGGTGTGGGATGTTCCTGGTGTGGGATGTTCCCAGTGTGGGATATTCCTTGTATGAAATGTTCCTGGTGTAGGATGTTCCCAGTGTGGGCTGTTCCCACTTTGGATCCCTCACAGTGACTCCAGCTGTTGGGCTCCATGCTGAGAGCATCAGGGAGACCTCTGGCTACAGCTGGTGGCTTTTGCCCACCAGGACATCAGCTGGAGGCAGGGGGATGTCCCAGGGGATGTGAGGGGATGTCACTTCATCACGGTGCCACAGAAGGCCAGTGCTGGCAGCTCCTCCCCATGGACGGACACAGCTGAGCTCGTGGAATTGCTGCCTCTGAGGTGTGGGGCAGATCGGGGGTCCCACAGGACAGGGGCTCCTCTCCTTGCTCTCCTCTGACCGTGCTCTTTGTCTCCAGATCAACCTGAACAAAGGGGACGAGTACTGGTGGAATGCCATCCTGGAGGGTGAGGAGCAGATTGACATCGACAAGATCAACAAGGAGCGCTCCATGGCCACGGTGGATGAGGAGGAGCACGCCGTGCTGGACCGCCTCACATTTGACTACCACCAGAAGCTGCAGGGCAAGCCCCAGAGCCATGAGCTGGTAGGTGTGGGCCATCAAGTGCCACCAGCAAGCACCCTCCATCTCCTCCATGGGGCCCATCTTCAGTGGGGGGACAGCTCTAGCTCCTCACCCAGTGTTCCCCCACACCTCCATTTTCAGACAATCACAGAATGCCAGTTTGGAAAGGACCTCAAGGGTGATCTGGCCCAACCTCTCTAGGTAGGAACATGGTTTAGATGAGATAGCCCAGCACCTTGTCAAGCTGAGTCTTAGAAGTGTCCAGTGTTGAGGAATCCACCACTTTCCTGGGGAGATTATTTCAATGTCCAACTGTTCTCATGGTGAAAAATGTTCTTCTGGTGTCCATTCTGGATCTTCCCCAGGAGTAACTTGCATGCATCACCCCTTTGCCATGGGACTCCTTTTAAAAAGGGAGTCTTGGTAGCCACCCTCTAAGTACTGCAGCAGTACCTAAGTACACACCAACAGGAGGTTTCGGGACCATGAAGTTCTGCTCATCCCTGTCTTTTGCCCACACACTCCCATCTTCTTCCCAGCACTCTTATCAAATCCCAGTGGGCCCAGTCCCCATGGGCCTCCCTCTAGAACCAGCCCTGCCTGTGCTCCAGGATGGACCAACACACCTCCTGTTTCACAGAATCATGGAATGGGTTGGGTTGGAAGGGATCTTCAAGATCATCTAGTTCCAACCCCCTGAATGAGCTGGGACACCCTCCCACCAGTACAGGTTGCTCCAAGCCACATCCAACCTGCCCTTCAACACCCCCAGGGGTGGGGCAGCCACAGCTTCCCTGGGCAACCTGTGCCAGGGTCTCACCATCCTCACAGAGAAGAGTTTCCTCCTCATGTCCAGCCTGAATCTCCCCTCTCCCAGTTCAAAGCCATTCCCTCACATCCTGTCGCTCCATATAAAGTCAGTCCCAGAAGTTCAGCCTCACCACAGTTCTGCATTCTCCTACCAATGGCTTCCCCTTGTCCCAAGTGCCACCTGCCCTGTCCTGGACCTGTGGGAGGGGGTTGTGTGCCCTTGGGAATGGGTGACACACCAAGGGGTGCTGAGCCCCACCCTCGCCATGGGTACCTGGATGTCTTCAGGATGATCCTGAGCTGTGGGGTGGATGGGGAGGGTGAGGGGCAGGGGTGAGGGTGTGGGAGGAGCCATGGGGGCTGAGGGGAGCCTGTGGCCTCTTTACAGAAGGTGCACGAGATGCTGAAGAAGGGCTGGGACACTGAGGGCTCCCCGTTCCGTGGCCAGAAGTTCGACCCCTCCATGTTCAACATCTCCCCTGGTGCGGTGCAGTTTTGACAGCGGCAAAAAGTGGCCAAGAGGCGAAGTGAGGAGAGGAGAAAACCCCCCTCCATGACCCCCTGGCACCCTAACACCAGCACCCAGATGTGCTGCCAGCACCTTCCACTGCTTCCATCAACTGGCACAGGCTGGGTGCTCTGGTGGGTGTGTGTGAACCTGGGCAAATGCAGAATTTCAGATTCCCAGATTTCCATCCTGTCACCAAGGCAACCTGGGCGCTGGGACCCTTCTCCTCTCCTCACCTCGTGCTCAGCAGCTCCCGTGTTCCTTAGGAGCAGATGGAGCCTGTCAGGTGACGACAAAACTCGTTGGGTGACATAATGGTAGTTGGAGGCCATTGTGTGACAATGAAGCCCATTGGGGTGACACAGTGGTGGTTGGAGCCTGTTGGGTGACAACAGAACCCACTGGGTGACACAATGATGGTTGGAGCCCATTGGGGGTGACAGCAGAGCCTGTTGAGTGACACAATGGTGACTTTGGGTAGCTGAGGATGCTTCTGTCAGGCCTTTCATGAGGGTGCAGACCCCTCCCTGCCCCGTCACAAGGCAGCTTCACCCCTCACCAGTGGAGCTGTGGCAAGGGACACACGGGAGGGGACCTGTCCCTGGCTGTCCCCACTGGCTCCCCTCACCAGGCCCTGCACCAGGGTTTCCCCCAGGAGCTGCCCCATCTAGTGCCAGGGGGATGTTCTCCCAGGATCCCTTTAGCCCATGGTCAGGGGCAGGTTGAGGGTGCCCACCCACCTTAGTGGTGGGCAGAGAACCCATCCAGCCCCTTTGCCGGGGAGGGGGAGGGTTTGCTTCCCCTGTTCCTCGGGGTAAGGAGGGAGCAGTGGGGCTGTCACCCACAGCACCCGTAGTGAGGGTGTCCAGGCTGACTTGGGGGTCCCTTGCAGGGAACTACCAGCTCAGCCTCCATGGCCACCAGGCCCCCCAAACCAGTGGACAGGAGCGTCTGGGCTTCCCTGGCATTTTGGGGTCTTGGAGGAGAGATGTGGAAGCCTTGGGACCCCCTCCAGCCTAGCCAGGGGCTTGCAGCACCCCCCGGCCCCCACCCTGGGGTGTATAGGCTGAGGGTCCCTGGTCATCACAGTGTTCCCCCCTCCACTGCCCCCCCTTGGTTTGCAATAAACATGTTTCTCCAGCATGGGGCCTGCCAGTGATTTGGTGCCACCCCCAGGGGACACGTGTGCCCCAAACCCCACACACACACTTAAAAGATTGGGGTTAGGACATCTGAAAGGGACCTCATCTGCAGGTGGCTCTTTTGTCCCCCACCCTGTGTGGCTATGGGGGCTGAATTTTGGGGTCCTGTGGGGTTGATATGTAGATATGGGATCCCTGTGGGCCAGGGAGAGGCTGGATTTTGGGGTCCTTTGGGGTGGATATGGGATCCCTGTGGGGGAGGCTGGATTTGGTGAGGTGGGCCCTGGGTACCTGGTGGCTTTGCGGGGTGCCAACCTGGGGGTCTCACCCTGCTGCTCTCCACCTCCCTGTGTGTCCCCCCCATCCCCACTCCCTCATCCATCTCCCCCACACCGGGCACCGAAATGTTCCCGGTGGCGATGCACAAATATAGGCGGGCTCAGCGC